ACTCTCTCACACACACACACACACACACACTCACTCTCTCTCTCTCACACACACGCTCACACACACACACATGCTCACTCTCTCTCTCACACACACACACACATGCTCACTCTCTCTCTCTCTCTCTCTCTCTCTCTCTAACACACACTTTGTCTCTAAGTAGTGGGAAGGCAGAGGTATGCCATTGAAGACAGACAGAGAGACAGCCAGAAGACAAAGTTTGTACGAAGAGTTTGTGTGAAGACCAGGGCTGGATCAGGAGAAGGTGGAACATAAGAACTTGTCAAGAACATTTCTCAGTCACATTTAAGCAGAGGTGTAAAGAGAACCTAAAAACCATACTTGAGTAAAAGTACAGATATCTTACAGTGAAAATTACTCCACTATACGTTACAAGTCACCAATTCCAAAACAACTTGAGTAAAAGCCTTAGGGTGGGTTGCACCAATAAGGATTCATCTTTAATCTAGATTAAATCAAGGTTTATCTAATAATTCCGTTGCACCAAACTTTAAACCTTGTTTAAAAATAAGCAGGATTACATTTAAACTATCATCTTGATCCTGGATTTAATTTATATTTAAGATAGATTAACTTTAATCATGTTGCTCCATAACTTTAAACTCAGATTTAAATCTCAATTAGGGATTAATTTTAAATTTACAGGTGAGGAGGTTTAAATGAAATAAAGTGCACCTACAGTTACAATTATGTGGCTGATTAAACAAAGAAAACAATAGAGGGTGTGTTGTGAGGTCTCAGGTGTTTATTACAAATAAAAAGGAAGATTTAAGCGCATTGAGCCAGCAGATTGTGAGGGTCTTGGCAGCCCGTAGTAAACTCGCCTCTGCTATCGAGTCCGGGATGTGAATCCGTCACTCATCTCGGTGCATCTCGGCGTACGACAAAGAAAACAGAAATATACTGTATAGCATTTAACGGCAGCGGTGATGATGAAGTGAGCGCCAGTGATCGCGGCCACACCTCTCGTTTCTCACGCCCCCTCCACGTGTGGCTGCTAGGCGGCGATCAAATGAACGGGGCGGCGATGTCATAAAATATACTCCATTAATTGATACTATAAATATATTTCCAGGATTATGAAATCCGTATGCACTGCCAGAAATGTATTCATTGCTTGCTTGATCAGCCGTTTGAATAACGGTAGCAGTTTATTAAGACGGCAGATATTTTACAAGTTTATTTCCTTTATCGACACGAGCAACTTATGTCAGAAAGAGAGTTAATTAGGAATATTAGCATTGTTCCTGTTTAATTGCAATTGCGAATCCATCATGGCGGAGAAAATTAATCGTAGATGGAGGTTTTAATCGCAGGTTAGAGTTCTAATCCCTGATTTGTTAATCTGTGTTTAAAATTAAGTGGTGCAACACAACTCGATTTAAAATAAAACCCAGATCAACAAATCCTTGATTAGCTCTAAACTTCACTTAAATGAATCCTTGTTGGTGCAACCCACCCTATATGTTATAATCTTAACTTGCGTACAGTACTTTGAACTGACATCGTTGAGCTCGTTGTTTGTAGCAAACGTTAACTCTCAGTTGGCCATGAAATAACTGTTAAGTAATGGTTTAAAAAAATAATAATTTCCTCACTCTAGTGTCCTTTCAAATTTAAAAAAAAATGTACTTTCTTCTGTGGAATATTAAATATTATAGAAACCTGTTCATTGAATCAGTCTCACTCAATGAAAGAGTATGGTGATTGACGCTGCCATTCTGTCAAACAACTTTTTGTGTACCATAGAAGACAAAATCTATGAATGGGAGAAAAATGTGGAAAAGGTTTGTGCAAAAAAAAAGTGTACTGAAAACGTGGCTGTTGTGCACCAAACCGTAAAATGGTTAAATAATAATATTCTATATGTTTTAACCTTAATTTGCGTACAGTGCAGTGACTGGCATATATCAAAAATAAGCACCAATGACAGGAAGAGCAAGAGCAAGATCAAGAGGCAGAGGTCGCGGTCAGGAGCCTGCAGCTCCTGGAGCGGTGAGTTTATTTATATAAGATGAGAAAACTTCATTGAAATAAACTTATTCGTTTTCCAATTCCTCTGCAGCAACCATCTGTACAACAAGAGGCTGCAAAGCCTGTTATGCCCACTCCACCTGAAGGACAGCTGGTGGGGAGAGGGAGACAGAAACCTGCTCCTGGAGCCATGTCTGAAGAAGGTAGGTACATTAGAGCAGCAAGTGGTAATACTGATATCTGTATACTATAATATTATTGCCTCATCCCATTTCTTGCTGGTTTGCTTATTTTCTCCCTGTAGCGATGCTGCAGATTTCTGCAGGCTTTCAGCAGGTAAAGATCGGGGAAAGAGGTGGACGTAGGAGAGATTTCCATGATTCTGGTGTCCACACTCGCCAGCTCATGGAACATGTGAAAGAGTCCAAAACAGGTAACACCATATTGTTAATGAGCACGACTTGATTTTTGCTCTCTTGCAAATGTTATGGCTGGTATTGGCACTAGTTTCCTGATTTTCAGTGTTTTGATTTGATTAATAATTGGACAGTTTGACCCTTTAAGTTAAAGACAAATGTTTAAAAAAAAAAATCAATGTACAAAAACAAATGTTCTTTTATATTGTCTGTATTAATCAAAGAGTCTGGCAAGAAAAAAAACAATTTCAGCACCAAATCTTCATATTAGAATGATTTCTGAAGGATCATGTGATAATATTATTGCCTCATCCCATTTCTTGCTGGTTTGCTTATTTTCTCCCTGTAGCGATGCTGCAGATTTCTGCAGGCTTTCAGCAGGTAAAGATTGGGGAAAGAGGTGGACGTAGGAGAGATTTCCATGATTCTGGTGTCCACACTCGCCAGCTCATGGAACATGTGAAAGAGTCCAAAACAGGTAACACCATATTGTTAATGAGCACGACTTGATTTTTGCTCTCTTGCAAATGTTATGGCTGGTATTGGCACTAGTTTCCTGATTTTCAGTGTTTTGATTTGATTAATAATTGGACAGTTTGACCCTTTAAGTTAAAGACAAATGTTTAAAAAAAAAAATCAATGTTCAAAAACAAATGTTCTTTTATATTGTCTGTATTAATCAAAGAGTCTGGCAAAAAAAAAAACAATTTCAGCACCAAATCTTCATATTCGAATGATTTCTGAAGGATCATGTGACACTGAAGACTGGAATGATGACTGCTGAAAATTCAGCTTTGCCACCACAGGAATAAATTACACTTTATATATGCTTCAATAGAAAAGAGATATGTTAAATTGTAGTCGTTTTTCACAATGTTACTGTTTTTACTGCAACAAATAAATGCAGCCTTGGTGAGCATTAGAGACTTCTTTCAAACACCATTAATTACTAGATTTGACACTCTTCCTGTAACCACAGGTGTTTCAGGCACTGCCATTGAGCTGAGGGCCAATTTCATGCGTCTGCTTTCACGGCCTCTGTGGGCTTTGTATCAGTACCACGTGGACTACAAGCCGCCTATGGAGTCCCGGCGTGTACGCTCAGCTTTGCTTTTCCAGCACGAGGAGACTCTGGGCAAAGCACACACTTTTGATGGAGCCATTCTCTTCCTCCCTAACAAACTGCACAACTGTATGTTTTCAGATCCTCAAAGTGCTCATAATTTCAATGGCTCAATGGCTTTGGAGTGTGGATTTGATTTGGTTGTCAGTGATAAGTTGCTTTATCTCCAGGAGACAGTCCTGTGCAGTGAGACTAGAAATGGAGACAAGGTTGAGATCACTGTTACACTGACCAACGAGCTCCCACCATCCTCTCCTGTATGCTTGCAGTTTTACAACATCCTCTTCAGAAGGTAATCACAGATAGCACTCTGTTTGAAATAGGGTTATTTATGAGGTAATTAACTTCCATTCCTGTTTATTTTGTGTTGTAGAATTCTGAGGATACTAAACATGCAGCAGATTGGGCGTCATTATTACAATCCTGATGATCCATTCAACATCCCCCAGCACAGGTTTTGAAACAAATGTGTTGTGTGACATTTACCTTCTGTTGGAAAGTGATTGAACATTGGAACCTGTCTGAATCTGTTTGCAGGCTGACGATTTGGCCTGGATTTGTGACCACCATCCTTCAGTACGAGTCCAGTATCATGCTGTGCACCGATGTGAGCCACAAGGTTCTACGCAGTGAGACGGTCCTTGACTTCATGTACAGTCTGAGGCAGCAGTGTGGAGACCAGCGCTTCCCTGAAGCCTGCACCAAGGAGCTTGTGGGCCTGATCATTCTGACCAAGTAAAATGAACACACATTTATACACACGCACACTGCTGTTCAAAAGTTTGGGGTTGGTAAGATTTGTTATTGTTTTTTAAAAGTCTCTTGTGCTCACTTGAGTTTGTTTAATTGCAACATTACTGAAAAACAGTCTTTAGTGTTCATTGTATTTTAAAATGTAATTTATTCCTGTTTGGCAAAGCTGAATTTTCAGCATCATTACTCCAGTCTTCAGTGTCACATGATCCTCCAGAAATCATTCTAATAAGCTGATTTGCTGCTCAAGAAACATTTATTATCAATGTTGAAAACAATTGTGCTGCTTAATATTTTTGTGGAAACTGATATATTTTTTCAGGGTTATTATTCATAGAAAGTTTAAAATATATATTTATTTAAATTAGGAATTGTTTGTAACATTAAAAAATGTCTTTACTGTCATTTTTGATCAATTCAGTGTGTGTCCTTTCTGAATAAAAGTTTTAGTTTCTTTCTAAAAAATCTTACTGACCCCTATATGACCTATAGTGAGTTTTTCTTTAATGGATTCATAACTTAAAAAGTTTTAAAATCTTTAAATGTTGTTCAATGTATAAAGTTGTTCAATTATTATTATTTATAGGTACAATAACAAGACGTACAGGATTGATGATATTGCCTGGGATCATACCCCCACCAACACATTTAAGAAGGGAGATACAGAGATCTCATTCAAGAACTACTTCAAAACGGTAGCTTAATTATATAGGGAATTATTCTGATACTAGTTGCAGAATTTTATTGTCACACTCAGTTATTCTCTCCCTCTCCAGCAATATGGTCTGGACATAACAGATGGCAACCAGGTTCTTCTGGTAAGTCACGTGAAGAGACTCGGACCCTCAGGTCGGCCTCCACCGGGACCTGCCATGCTTGTCCCGGAGTTCTGCTACCTCACAGGTAAGTCCTTTTTGAGTTTGGTTTTCTTTCATGTGATGTATTTTTGACAGTTTCTATTAAACAGGAAGCAGGGGTGGGACATATTGAAGGTCTCATCCTTTTTTTATTTCTTTTTAAATAGCTAGTATCCTGTAGTTTAGAACAACTGACAACACTGACAAACCATCTGTGAATATGCCCATTATTTCTCTGTTATAGTATGTGAAAATCAGTATGTGGAGTTAGTATGTCTGAATTCACAGTATTCATAAAACAGTAAATGGAAAGTACCTGGATGACCTGCTACTTTTGCTTTGATTCTGAAGTGCCAATGCTTTAATATCCCATGAGGCAACGGGAGTAGAACTGTGAATGGCAGTGAAGTGATGCAACTTGACCTCATAGGTCCAGATTTCATTCATAATATAAAGAACATACTTAATGGTTGAAGTTTGTTCCTTGTTTCATTCTAGTACCTAATCAGTATGGGATTGAAGGCATAGCTTATGATTTGCTAGTCGATGGCTGGTGGTGTATATAATTTTTTCAGTCTCTAGGAAATCACTGCATATAGATGAAAGCTAATAGACAGAGCTACAGATCTGGCCACTGAGAATGCGTGCGCAGAGTAAAGGAATCACGCGTGACCACGGTGTATTATGCAGGGCCACAGGGAATGCTCTAACACAGGAAAGACATGCTCAGTAGGAGGCAGTCATGTAACGTACTGAACTGAAGCGGCAGAGAACATTAATCATGGCGAGCTGTAGTCTATTGAAGTTTATTGCGTGTACTACGCGAAGGCCAATAAAATATTCATAATTATGTTATCAATAGTGTTATCACGTGTTTATCATGACAGTTTGATCACTGAAAAATCATTTCAAAAGTATTACTCTACAGCAGCACTTCTCAAAGTATATATATATATTTCAATATATTAGAATATATATATATTAGGTAATTATTAGGGATGCTCCGATCAGGATTTTTGAGAAACATTGTCACTGAAAATGCTTTTTCAGCATTGCAATTCTTTTTTTCTTTTTTTGTACACAGTACAGTTATACAATTACTGACATGTTTAAACACAATAAATATAAGCAACACATTATTCAATGCTTTTTACTTTTGCATTTACTTCTAGATTTATATATTAAGTTGCTCAAGCAAGTGGCAAAACATTTAAACTACTTTTCTTACGTTATCACAAACTTACCATTGACACAAATAGTGTGCTCTACTGCCTTTCCCTTTGCATTGAAATCTTTATTACATAAAGAACTTTGTTTTCCTACCTCCACAAATGCCATCTATTATTGCTTGTTTATCTAAAAGTGCTCTTTCCCTTTAAACCTAGCCAAAAAGCCGTATGTGTTGACTGAAACACAGTAGACTTTAATAATATGCATTTATGGTGTAATTACTACATTTTCGTGTCAATCCATGTTCATATTTACTGCAAAAATGCACTGTTACTTTAATTCAGCGCTTGCAGCGCAGCAATAGACTCGGTGTGGAACCGATCACTGCACTGCTGCAGAAGCACCGCTCCTGAACGCACTGCCTGATCGCAGCCGTGTGCAGTGAACGCTTTAATCCGTTAACATGAGCGTGGAAAAAATACGCACTGCAAACGGAGTAATGTGAACCTGGCATTATGTGTGTGCGTTGCGAGTGCGAGTGGGCATGAGCGCCAGCTCTTGCAGTCTCCAGGAGAGCGTGCGAGCGCTGAATGGTTAAACACTGGCAAGAATTAAAAAGTAATGCAATTTATAAACTTTAGTGACAATCTGACACTGCCTCAGTTGTGCAAGTGACAATTCCTGTGTCAACTGTACAGCGTGCAGCTCGCTTACAGTGCAGACGCAATGTGTGGTGATTTGAAGACATTTGCGTATTTTGAGAGAGAGTGCACGCGCGGTGATTCACTCACGCTGTTTGTGAAATTACATCTCACACAAGGTTTTCAAATAACTTTAAGTTATTTAATGAAGAAATATGAAGGTGAGTATTATAATTTCACCCACGCCTGACAGAGACTGAGACGTGTCGCTGCATGTCATGCCAAATCTCTCACGGCAGCGTCATCAGCTTGAGATCGGTTTTTGAGATCGGCCTTTTTAGAGACCGCTGATCAATCATCCCAACGTGATTATCGGCCGATAGTGATCGGTAGCCGATCAATCGGAGCACCCCTAGTAATTATATTTCCTACTTTGATAAAAGCATGTTAAACTTGTCAATCATTTGTTTATTTGTTTTTATGTCTTTTTGGAGATGGTCCGAAATGAAAGCGAAGGTGAGATATTTAAAGTTTTCCTGCGTGACATTGTTGTCATGACATCCAGTGAGTGTTTGATGTTAATTTTTTATTTTTTTTTATCACTTAGATTATGGCCATTTGACTTATAGCAGTGTCCAGTGTTTTCCATACATTGATTTATTTGTGGCGGCCCGGCACAATATCAAAAATTACCGCCACAAATAGATTTTCCAAAAGGCTTCTACTTGGTTGAATAAACATAAGCACTGCTCATTTCAAAATCAAAATGCGGCGCGGGTGTTTTTTATATGAATGTATCTTAGAAAAGAACCGACCATCTTCAGAGAAGCTAGATTTCATTTTCATTTCGTCTTTACTGTCATGCCTGATAAAGTAGCGTTTGTGAGCGCAGCGCTTACTTGATTACAGCTGGGGAAACCGCTATATCTCCCACTCCAACAGCGCCTCCTGCTGGCAGAGAATGAATTTGCATTTGCAGGTCTGTGGGAAACACTGGTGTCTGTCAGCAAACATAAACAAAAAGCATGCTTCAGAACTGTTTTAAGTTTTGAGCCATGTATTATTACTATGATTTAGGTTACTGCTACTTCTACTATTACTATCTTTTAACTCATACTCCCTTTTATTTTATGAGGGGGAAAAAAAAGAAAATGGCCAAACATATTGACCAAAAAAAATAAATAATAATAATAATCGGCATCATAATTGTCCATCGGCTGCCCTGATTACTAGATATCGGCATCGGCCAGAGAAAAACCCATTTCGGTCGACCTCTATTTCTGACACTTAAATGAATTGTTGTCTCATTCATAATAAAACGTGCTTCACATGGCTCCGGGGGGTGAATAAAGGCCTTCTGTAGTGAATCCATGCGTTTTTGTAAGAAAAATATCGATATTTCAAACGTAATAAACACTTCTCTCTCACTTCATCTAACTGTCATATGCGGAAGCCGTGCCGGCGGATGTCGTAGCACGTCGGCGTTGCGTGATTAGTGAAGAGCGCGGAGAGAGAACAAAACAAAACGCCGGTCACGAATTAAAAGTACAAACCGAAGATTTGCAAAGAAAAATGTCGGAGGATTTCAATATAAGCCAAGAGGAGACTGGTTTTCCTTTGCTAAAGTAAGGAAACTTTGCTTCCTTTGCTCCTATAAACAAACTTGCGAGACTAGCATATCTCAGAGGCACGCGCGCTGCGCATACGTCATACACCTTCTGCCGGAACGGCTTCCGCAGTATGAAAGATAACGGAAGTGAGAGAAAAGTGTTTATCACGTTTGAAATATGGATATTTTTCTTACAAAAACGCATCGATTCGCTACAGGAGGCCTTTGTTCAC